TTGCATCGCGATGTATGGATATCTCAAGACGCACATGAAAAACCAATAGACCTTTTTCCAGCACGCTAGCGCCGCCAACAGGCATGCCAACGCTTATGAGAAAAGTTGGTACTTTCGCAATGAGCATGCAGGCCTCACGCTTCAATTTTCGAGTGAACTTGTAAGGTGTAACATATTAGGCGTGATTCACTCACAAACTTCAGTGTTTAGGTGCGATGGCCTGTCTATGACTTGTACTTATCCCCTGTTAAACCAGTTTAGTGGCTTAGAAGTGTCAGTTAATTATTATAATCCTTTAGCGTCAGTCCACCTTCATCATAAGTAAAAACCAGTACAACTTGGTTGCCTAAAAGGTGCAAGCACTGTCCACAAATTCACGGATGCTCTCGAAAACAATGTCATTTGACACTATTTATGAGTGAATTGTTTGGTTCTGGTATATTTGAAGAGTGCTTTAAAAATAATCGGTACTTTGTAAAATAAAATACATACACAAGACTGTGTGCGTGTCGCTTGCACGATATGCACGTACCAACATCCCTTCGCACTGTAACTACAGGTTGGACTAAAAACTTACAAGGTGAAAAGAAAGAAGTAGGACCAGGAAAGAAATACGCTGAAAGGTTATCGCATGTGCTAAAAAACATGCAAGAAAATGGGGGTAGATCGCGCATGTCTAAAAGAGGCACACAAAGGCAAAGAAATAAGACGCCTGTTTACAGCTGATTAATAAAGTTAAGTTTCATGTGTTGTAATGATAGGTTAATTGACTTAGACAAGGTGTGGTGTTCCTTACGATATGCCTCCGAGATTTCTCGCGTGGTCTGCTTAGGGTGGCTGTGCAAGATTAGCCGGCCTTCAACAATGAAATTGCATTTGCATGACTGAAAGCGCGAGGTGCGATGAGATGGCTTCATTAAATGAATTTTGATGGTCTCTGAGGCACGTGTTGATACATCAGCCTGACCGATGTATAATATGTGAACACAGAAGGAATTCGGTTAGCAACTTTTGCACAATTGAAAGAACAACTGACATGCCTCTCATATTAGTACTTTTCTCTGCCCACTGCACACTGCGTGACCTTTTGCGCTCTACGGAAGGAATGTTACTAAGCTTATGGTGCAGGAAAACACAACCCTCACCTCATATCGCTTCCCAATTTTTTTTCACACTGTGCAGAACGTATGCATAGAATAACTGCAATATTCCTACTTTTTTTCTTGGGTGAAGGTCATCTGAATTAATCTTTCTTTGCAGTGAAAATGAGCTGTTCACAAACCAATGCAATATGATAGAGGTAGGACACCCCGCCTCATCGCAGCTGGAAACTATTGCTCAGGTAATGTGGCCAAGTTCATTTTTTTCTTTGCTGGCGTAAGTACATAATTATTCCTTATTTTACTATATTTATATGCACAGACGCGAAATTCAATAGTGATATCAGTCAATGCAGAATATACTGCTAGCAAATATGCTCAGCAGAGACACTTAAGCATCTTGTAAAAAACCGCAAATTATCAGTTCCATCTTTTCGTCTTTCAACACATTTAGATCGTGTTTACTTTCCCAATTTTCAGCGCCCGACTTGTCCATAAAAATTTTAAAAATTCTATAGCTGTAACACTTCTCTGCGGTCTTGTTTTAATGGCCCAATCAAACCGTGATAGTATTAAAAGCCACAGCATTTTATGAACAGTACATTGCTGAATAACTATGAATTCAGTGTTCCCGCTCATATTCCTCACGATAGCATGTTTTGACCACATGTATTGGTACGCGACAACTCGCATGCCGCTCATCTTCTATTTTCGCTGTACATTCACCCTGTGATACCTACACTGACTGCATTATTCCTTTCACATTTCATGCATACATATACAGGAAGGTGAATTCGGACCCTATTCAACAAGCAGCGGCATGTTCTGTTCATTTTGTGCTCACACGGTGCTAACGAGCTGTAGGCGGTGTAAGAGCCAGTTCACTTGACGCACCAACTTTTCCCTTTTGTGCTCCCTGCACCTGGTGTGTGTGTGGGGGGGGGGGGGCGGGGGGATTGCTTGAAAAAGGTTTATCGCTGCTTACCCTAGCATGCTACCATTACCCTACTTAGATGGCCAAGAAAAGGAAAACAGTCCCACTTAAAAGTAAGATTATGTACATGCATTTCAAAATGACAGCACTAGCTTTTTTTTCTTTTTTTCAGAGCTGCTGATGAGTAAGACGACACCGTACATTTACAGAATGTCAAATTCGTGATGCTGGAGAAACAACAGAGCTAAAACATTTTGCGATAAGTGTGCTCACGAAAGTGTCATGGAATCTAAAGGCCTATTCAATTACGAAAAACACAAGACGCACACAAACAAGGATAACGTTGCTCTTCCGACGAAACAGACAACTTAAGTAAACTACTGCGTGCATAAGCACCACTCACTAAATCTACGCTCACAATACTTGCTACGATGTCGCAGTGAAGGCAACTACAGAGCTATACTGTTGGTTGAAAAGAGCAACAGCAAAATAAGCAACCTTCTTATTTCGCAAAAGGCGACAAGGACGACAGTCCTTCATCAGGTAATCTTAATACAAGTTGAGCGCAATGCAAGAATACAACCAGATATGAAGGAAAGGAAACCGAAAAAATCTGAATTCGGATGACAAAACCAAAGGTATGTCATCAAACGGAAGGCTCAGTTGCGTTGAGGTTTTGCACAGAAGGCACATATCAAGAGTAGACCCCAGTTTATCATTATTTTATTTAAGGGGCGTCCTTCCATAGATTCGTACCTGCGGCTTTAAAAAAAAAATCTGGAGAGAAGTGTACTTAAATATGGCAACTGCAGCAACCCATTCAACACCCACTGCTGCGACACTACCTGTCTGTGATTCCATCGCCTGTCACGACTGTAACGCCGAATGCTTAATCCATTTTATTTTTAATTTTCACGCATAAAGGGAAAAAACAACTACTACAGTCTGACCCCTTCTTACAAGCATCCATTAGTACGACACACCACTAAATAAAACTGCTAAATATACATACTCGAGACAACACTCAAACAAACACAGACGCAAAAAAGGGGGCTCAGGATAGGTGATGCAAGACTCGCTGCTGACTCATGTGATTGCGGCAGCTGGTTTTGCAAAAGGATCTTTTTTTTTTTTTCACAGATAAATAAAAGATTTATTGCAACAAACAAAACATTTGCACATAATAAAACATTACCAAAAATGCCTCTATCAATGAGGCCTTCTGAAAAATTCATTCAAATATTCCGCGTCAGCAACCCTACCTCTATAGTCTCGGGGGTGCACGTCAAAACTGACTACATTGCAATAAAAAACCATACAAAACTCAGTGGCTCCATTTTATCCACTAAATAAGCGAGGCCCGTTCACAAGACATGTTAATATTCCTACAATTTCTCAAAGTAAATTGCTCATTTTTCATTTCGCTACACATTTTTCAGTGCATGTAGATAAGCAGTCGGCTAGTGAGATCACAAAACTTGTAGAAATGTGTAGTACCTAGAAATGAAAGAATGCGATGAAAAAGTTTTTTTTTAGTTTGACAGCCTTAATTTAAAGGGCATCAGTTAATGAAGCAGACTTGTATACTAAATAACAGTAAATTTCAGCAAATTATGCACTTTGCATTAATTACAAAAAGATATATGGATGTCTTCCTAGCGCCCGTAAAACCAAAGCTAACAGTGTTCCCTACCACTTGCTTACTGACAGCAGTGCAGAATACCATGCCACGTCCTAACAACTAGGCAGTACCCAGTCGCGCTTTAACACTAACGATTCCACTAGCTAACCCTTGCTTGTCTTTCTCTAATGATCCCGACATCCTTTTTGTCTAATACTCCCCAATAATTTCTTATAAAATGCACACTACTTTGTGAGTGATGGCGTTCTGTTTGAACACTCTCTATATTAAAGACGAATTGTGGGAAGTATAATTGTCTTATTAAAAAAAAAACTGATAACGAGCAAGCCTGCCGCGCTCGAATTGAACTCGCGTCTGCGCGCCACCACTAAGATACAGTAACCACCTAGCAAAACTTTGATTCCTTTATGCCAAAAACTCTCGTAGAGTTGTTGGAGTCTCCAAGTAATGGAGCTTCGAGGAGATGGTGTCCACCCGAGTACTAATCTCCATTGCTTATGCAGGACGCGAAAGCTCTAGGAAGCGTATCGTGGCTGTACAAGAGTTCTCACGATTTCCCACGTGAGAACATTGACTGAACAATACAAACTCTCTCGGCAGCCCTCTTTCCTGCCACTCTCTTCAGATAAACACCACTCGCTAGGGATGTATTAACAGCAACCGCATTCACAGAAGTGGCAACAAGAGCATGGCTGCCTATGTCTGCTGTGACGTTGACAAGGCGACAAAAAAACTTGCAACACGGATTACTGACATTAGCTTCATATTTGCCTCAAGAATGCTGTATAGTATTTATATTTATTTACACGGCAAAACATGTTTGAAGGAAGCGCAATCTTACAACATTATAAGCATCGACAGCTGATGTATAGTACACCTGCAAATTACTTGACCACGATATGAGCTAGCAAAGCAGTTCTCACTACTCAGATGATGCTAGCATAACCTTTAAAAAAACAAAAAAAAAAAAAACAAGGAAAGCAACGGATTGCAAGGGTCATTCACATGTCTCAACGATCAATTGTCTAGTCTCGCATCTATTGTATACTTCAATGACAGCATGATTATAATTACACTAGGCGTCCAAAGTCCGCAGGGAAGTGGCAAACAAAATCGACGCAGAGGGCGGGAGGGGGGGTGAACAGAATAAAAACAGGTGAACATTTCTCACCTAATTACAATACACACAATACGCAAATTCTACCCATTCCCCAATCACGTGCTGTGCCCCACCAGTTGTGATAACTTTGTGGGCTGTGCAGAGTCTCTGGGCTTCCTCAATACACAGCTCTCAAAGTGTCTGGAGCCCAAGAGGGGCGCGGCGGCCTTTGCTTGAAGCAAAAATAAAAACCGATAAGAAGTTCTCCGATTGCTACAAGTGCAGTAAAGAAGATGAATCTATGCAGTGCAGCCACTCAAGCAGAAGCAGGCGAGGCAAAGAGTAGATCCGGGGCGACACGATTAGACGGGGATGTTCTAGGACGACGACGTAAACGCGTGCAGGTTCCCCAGCTGGCTCAGGCCGTTCTGGATGTGGTTGACGTGTATTTGAACTTTGTTCTGAAAAATACTGCGAGAAAGTCGGTGGAAACTGTGTCAAGGCACGATAGGCTCAAAGAACACTCAAAGCAATCAAAGAACAGAGGTGTTTACGAAGCTGATCGCTGCTTTGACAAGAAAAGGGCCATCACAAAACTACATGATTTTCACCCGAACGTGCCCACAGTTGAAGCGATGCAGCCAAGCTTGGTGCCCTTAGTCCCCAGCATGCCATCACCCAATTTCGTGGTGACCAGCTTTACTTCTGGGAGCTGAGTGACGAGTTACTGCTAGGTCTTACTGTACTTACCCGGTAATGTGACAATATTAGTAATTAATCAGCTGAGCAATTGTCAAACCTGCCACTCCTGGCCATCACTTCAAAAACTGCCGGAATGTAATTATGTTTTTTTTAATGGTTAAAGCCTTATATTGGCTCGCCCGTCTGAAAATCCTGCATAAGTCGTGCAATCAGCAAATGGTACCTCGTTTTGTTAAAGATGTAAAGATGCCAAATGATTAAGCATGCAAATTGTAGTGAGGTCAAAGTTAATCAATGTATAGTGAAGTGATCAGCAAATCAAAGATGAATCAAGGAAGTGTGAAGTAACTTTTAGGCATGAATTAATACACATTACAATTGAATCAAAAGTGCATCAAGTTCCAATTAAAATGGGATCAACTGGCCTTCTGGTTTGGTCAATTCTGGTTTGTGACAGCACCCTCAAAGTGGCTTATACAAAACAAGTTATACCTAAACACTAAGAAGGCAACATACATAATATTCTATTTAGTAAATAAGCATGACATAAAAATGGTACTGACACAAAAATTGTGGCCCTGCAGTGAATTGCTGGGGTTCTGTTAGTTTTGACACGACATACCGTTTACTGCAGCATGCGACAGATAATCAATTACAAGCTCCTCATTACCAACCAGTCTTAGTTTTGGTTTGAGGGAGCTCGATGTACGACAAGCCGCAGAGTGCTACTATCACCCCTTAACAGGCTGTAGTCAAAAATTTAGAGGCAGTATAGTGTGGAACTTTTTGCGCAAAGGATAGCGAGACAAGACAAGCGCTTGTGCCTGTGATGCCTCTCCGTCCTTTGTGCAAAGATTTCTGTACTACAGTTAAACCTGGATATAACAAAATTGATAGAATCCCAGAAAAATTCGTTATCTAGAGGATTTCGTTATATGCAGGTTCGGTACGAAAACTCAGAAAATAAACGCGCAAATGAAACAAAAGGGGGACTGAAGGCAGCGCTAACCCAAAACACTTACTTCGCACAAAAAAAACTGCAGTATTATTGTGATAGCAACTATATGGACATTTTGAGCGGGTTTTCGCCGTCGCCGTCATGTTCCTTAACAAGTACAGATTGATAACGTGCCCCCGCGATGGTAACTTTCACGAAAGGGTAAAAGTGCAAGAGCGCTCGCAGAGAACAAATGAGTCGGCCCATCCATATCGCCTAGAAAGTGCATAAGCTAACATCTCCCGTGTGTTAAAACTGTAGTCGAATGCTCAAAGTCAACCACCCGTCTTGAACAAGCGTGAAACAAAGCGGGGAGGGGGAGGGGGGATCACTCAAGTAGCAATAATGAACTTAGATTTTAAGGGTGGTCGCGATCGCTGGCACGCTTGCTATCTCGGCAAGTACCAGTGCGGTTTCTACGCGAAGGGATGGTGTGAAAAGAGCACTTCACCCTGGAGCGGCCGTACTTTCTTACACCAGCGTTTCCTAGGAGTTCCGCGATGTCAGATCCAGAAGAGTTGGCTGCCAGCCTTATTTCTTATAACATATTTTTTTTTCCTATCACGTTCATTGCATTGTATTCAACGCGCTGCCGTGTTGCCAGATTTTATCGACTAATCGTGAAAGCTACCATCCTGCGAACTCGCGGCACGGCGAAACACAGAAGCGCATGACCTAGTCGATCTTTGAAGATCCGTCGTCGCTGTGGTCTCGGCAAGTTTCCATCAGCGCCTAATGTGACAACCCCTTGGTGGTAACGACACAATTTTCCGAAATTAAGTAAAGTCACAGTTTCACCGCAAGGGCGAAGCAATGACAACTTGGAATGTAACGCTGGGAACGGCAAGCAGACCGAAGCATGCAGCGCTGCTGCGCAAGCAAAAACAAAAAATGACGCATGAAACGAAATCACAGGTACAGTTATAAATGCGAACTAACAGATACCCCAGTTGTTACTCTGCTGTGTTTGAAAAGCGCACTCTTTTCGCAAATGGCCCCTGTCTATCGAGCAAAGTGAGCATTGTGCACCTAGCAAATAAACGCAATCGTTCGGGTAAATTCGAAGGCACGCGATTCTTTTCGCCAAAAGTTAAGTGCATTGAACAATAACACAAACATTTTATCTCTTGTGAAGCCGCAAGCACTAAAAAACCATGCGTGGTATGTGCAATGCTTGGCCACACCAGCCCACAGCACTGTAATATGTTTTTTTCTGCACAATTTGCATCAAGAAGTCTTTTCGAACAGGAAATGGGAAAGTAGTGTCGCCAAACATGGAACTTTCAACGTGTGCATCACAGCAAGGGACTGGCGAGCAGCTGCGAAGAAGTAATCTGCTGTAGCGAACGCGGCACAAGAAAAACGACGGCTATGAAGTCATCATAACTTGTGTTGACTGCAACATGATGAGCGAAGGCAAGTAGTGGAGTCACCGTAGGGTCTTTTATGAGATGGTCAATGAGTCAAGATCCTCGATCACGCAAGGGAACTTTGATTTTCATGTAAAATACCTTCCAAGATATATTTACTGTTGATATTTTGCAGGTATTACACAGCTTCATGGGAATCAATCCCGTAGGCTATCTTGGCGGCACAATTTTGTGTCGCTACTCGTACCCCTTTAAGATAAGCTCAGGTGGAAAACTTAGGGTAAGAAACAAAATTTTCTTAGAATATGGATGATTTATTAAATGCAAATCCACAGAAATCCTTTAGTTGAGTAGCTCGCACTGAGCTGTAGGATGCCAGTACAGAATTAGTCCCCCCCCCCCCCCCTTTTATTTCAATGGCTAAACAATGATTACTGCCTAATGTGAATTCTAAGTGCATCTGTATAGGCATATTGATTTTAAATTAGCTGAGACAAATGCTTCTTCTTGCAGTGGTATGCACCTCTAGGTTCTGGCAATAGCGAACGTCTGCTCGGACAGCTTGTTTAGCAGCAGCAGCAGGCAACGCACTTCCACCAGTTGTTGTTGCTCAATATTAAGAAAGAACTGACTCCAACTATTTTGCACACAGGTACACGGTACATGTTGAAAAGAGAACACTGTGAGTAGCGCGACTTGTGTCGGACGACCGATTTGGTGCAGCCCATTTCGCATCAAACGCCGTAAACTGAGCGTGGCGTGACTGCCTCGCTAACCAGGAGACCACAAAAAGGTGGGAATGTACCACAACAGCCACTGCAGAGAGGCCTTCGTTTTAGAAGTGATTTATACACAAATATGGTATCGGTGGCCTCCCCGCCTACACAGCTTAGTGATGAGGTCATCAGAGACTGCACGATTGCGCGCACTATTGTGGTGCTGTGGAACCTGTCGTCTCGCCATGGCTGTTCCCTTGCCCTGACACTGTCCTCACCCCTGCCATTTTTCATCCTCTGCCTCACTCAGTTTCGTCTTTGTTACTCTATCAGTTATGCCGGCGTCACTCAATGCAGGAACAGGCACATATGCTGCGCTCTAAAAGTTTAAGACGTACGTCTTCTACTCAAGAGTTTATATTATGGTGTACCAGTATTGGGGACAACAACGAAAGAAATTTCGCAAGCCTACTGAAGTGAAAAATAAAACATTTCATAGTTACAAATTTTACCAATGGCAGCATTGCTTGTTTGCACACTGTAATGTTTCTTTACCGACATGAAATATTGACGGCAAGCGAAAATGTAATATATTAAACAGCCACAAGAAATATGCAAGAAAATAAGCTGTATAAATTTAAAAAGGCTACATATACGAAAATCCCTAATGTTATATGTAAGCAGAAGTTTAAGATGTTTACCAAGAACAAGGACATATCATGGAAAACAAGCAATGCAATACTGATCAATACACTTAGCCAATGAAATGAAAAATACAGCGGAGTCAGACACTGACCTAGAAAAAACCCTCTTGAAAAAATAACTAATACCACTAAACAGTATTGCACAGAAGACAGAGAAATGTGTTAAAAAATTTTTGCAACAGTACGGAAAGATTGTCATTTTTTGCTACTGTAAGATAATATTACTGCTTTGTTATTTTTCATGCAGTTGTATGATGCCTAAATTGTTTTTTTCTTTTTTTTTTTTGCATGAGACGAGTATCTACAGTGTGGCACTTGTTGCTTGTGTAGCTCAAAACTTTAATGTGACATTGTTAAAGAGATCATTTTGCAGAGAAATTTCGCTGGGGACGGCGTCTTTGCTGTGAGCGAAAATACGATGTGCAGCCGCCAACCGTTCATTCAGATGCTAAAAATTCTGACATGCAAACACCCTCGCGGCACTGAAACTTGTCCCACCGAAGCAATAACTCAAGGCCGAAATTTCTGATGCCCCACAGTGCACTTTTTGATTTTTTGGACTTTGGCTGGCTGATCGAATGCGACATCAGATGCCATGACCTCAGTACGGTGTTTACAATAATTTTACTAGGTTGCTAGCACTCAAAGGTTGTACTGGCTGAGATTGGAGGCTGTGCCCGCATAAAAACAAGGAAGTTTCAATTGCTGATCTCGAAGGATGCTTTTTGGTTACATGTAATGGCTGCTAGACAGCTTTAGTCAGCCTACTGTTGACTCAATGGCTACGGCGGCCAAATCGCGAGCCAAGCCAAGCAACGCTCAGAGTGGCCTTGGTGTGACATTTGAGAATTATTGGGATGACCACACACACAAAACGGCTAAGAAAGAACTGAAGCATGCGCACTGCAGCATGAACTAGCCTGACATCATTGCCTTTTGACATTTCAGAGTTTTTGTTGTTGTTTTTCTGCGGCTAGGTCTG